ACATTAATTATTTAATATTAATTTAATGTTAATAAAGTAAAAAAATAATGAAGATACACGAGTTTTATTTTTTTTATCTCCTACTTACGAATCACCATACTTAGAGTAGGGCGCCATGAAAAAATTTTAATTCAAAAAGAGCGCCGCGACTATGAAAAGTTTAGGAACCACTGCATTAAATAGTTAACTTGACACATTCCGATCAAGCTATTTTGGCATCTACAATATCAATCCTGCAAGTGTAATTAGACGACGACCTGCTGTTCTAATTTGTAAAGGCAGATCAAGGAGGAATGATCATACGAGCTTATTTTCTCATGTTCAGTAATTCATAATCACCTTAAGGAGATAAATCTATGAATAATCTTAATTTCGCAATGGATCAAATTATAATCACCAAACAACAGCACAGAGCAAGCAGGGAAAGAAAATGTTCTCAAATAAAATAAACTAGAGTGGAGCAACTGGTGGATGTCTCTAAAAAGAAAAACAACTTTTACGATGCCACAAATATGCTCTAAAGGTCATAGTTACTCTAAAAGACACTATTTATCAGCAGAATAGTGCCAAATCTCGCCATGGAAGAAGGATAAAACAGAAAATCAGATATCACAGGGCGCGGCTTTGTAAAGTTCACTTTATTACTTGAGAGTGATATGAATCTACCTGTATTTTTGGTTCGTAAATCCGTGAACATCAATATCGAAAAATTCTTAAAAAATAATGCCATATATAGATTAATGATAAAAAGTTAAACACAGCAAGGAACAGCACAAGAGGGAAGAAGCTAACAGAAAAATAGATGACATTGGGAAGATCCAGGCATCTAGCGTAGCCTAACTAGCTATATGACTTACCTATGTGAACTTGAGTCTATTCACGAAGAAATACCCGAGTAGATCAAAATCAGTTTGAGAAGATGCTCAATCAAACTTAACAATGTCAATGAAGCTTGAACACAACTTGTGAAGAACCAAGGCTTTATATTTGTAATAAAGCAGTTGTTTAATTTATCGTATACCTATATAAATTATTATGTAAATTGTTTTTCCTTCATAAAATAGGACCATGACACATTAATGCATAGAAAAGAAGATTTACCATGGCGCCCGCATAATGCAACCAGGATGAATCGTTCTGGAAGTCTCGTTTAAGGACATTGTAAGCTTGATGTGCCGATTCATACTGCTGGAAAAGAAAAGCAAGGTCAGCCAAACGGCGCATCTGCAGCTCCACAGCTTCTGGTGCGTAGACAATCGTTAAGGCTGCGTTAGTACTACTAGCCGTCGAAGCAACGGGAATACTAGTCCCAAGACTGGATAGTCCGGAGATCTGATCCCCCGACGAAGTTTCTACAGGAGGGTTACCGGTCTGCCAAGAAGAAGTGGAGCATGCCAAATTGCTGATAGTCATCCCGGAAGTGCCGTTCACAGTACTGGAAAGGCCCAACTGTCCAGAAATGTTTCCTTGGGGGACTAGGCTTATCGGTGCCTGAGTGACGAGACCGGATTGCGATGCGGCTGGCTTTTGCTGTATTAGCGACAATGACGTTGGAGAGGAGAGTGATGATGAGGAAGGCAGGGGCGAAGAGGATAAAGTGGAAATCTGAGGAGGGGCCGGAACAGAACCAGCTGAGGATCCGCCTACTGCTTGGCTGAAGAATTTCTTGGTCGCACTGAATAAGGACCGGGAAAGGCGCATGCGAGGTGCAATCTGGAAGAGAAAGATAGCTATAAAAGAGGATTCAAGAGGCATCACGGTAAGGAACATGAAAACGATACATATAATTTGCAAAGTCTAAGAAGCGAATAGTCAATAACATAGTAGCGCTAAAGATGTAAACG